TCGCATCATCAGCAAAAGTACGTGGCACCCGTGCTCGTCACCAATCGAGCTGTGAGCTTATAACCCTCAAACCTGTTGTCTCCCACGGTTATGTATTAAGTGAAGAGGAATATTGATTCTCTACAACCTAGGAAAGGGATGCTGAGAATGAATTGGTCTGAATCATAAACCTGTCTGGTATGAGCGGCTCTGAAGGCACTTGGAAACTGCCGTCCAGCCGAGCTCAATGGGTCACGAAGGTAGCAAATCATCGTACTACATTAAGGTTCAGTTTCGTTGCACTGGTGTTTCGGTATCCGGATCACGCCTGTATAACTGAATTGAACTGAACTTGGAGATGCTTGAATTGTTAGCGTTGTTCGTTGTAATAGTTGTTGACGTGGAATGGATCCTCGCATATGGCCTTGCATCGGGATGAATCTACACCGGGTGGCTACCTATTATTTTTTTCACTGCCACAGGCTTTGTGCTGAACTTAACACACTGGTATGGGCAGTTTATTGTCTCACGCATTTTACTTTGCATCGTTGGGCACTAACAGTAATCAACAACAACAACGAGAAATTTTTCTGACGTGGGGATTTTCAACTTATACGAATTCGGTTGTGCCTGTTTCAAATATGAAAGCACTTTTCACAAATTATCTCTCGCTTTTTGATATATAATAAATTAGGAAATATTTTTTTGTAAATTATTATTAGGAAAATTAGTTTCCCTTGTTTTTCACGGATATATGAGTTTCGCCTAACGTAACTGTTTGAACGATCCCTATGTATTTTGCTACATTTATGGCGAATACATTATGGCAAATGAAAGGAGAAATATCATTCCCTTTGTGTGACATGCATATTGCGCTTACTTTGGTGCAAAAATTGGAGATAAGGTAAAGCCCCCGATTCTTCCTCTAAGGTTTTGCAATAACTCTATCGTGTGTCTCCAGAAGTGGGCAACTGGTGCAACAAAGGTTCGAATTTTAGTGTGTCTATGGTAGGGAGAGAATCGACAAGTCATCACGATGATTGTTACTTCTGTGTTGTTAATGTGAAAGGCTTCAATTGATACAGAGAACTTCTATGGAGCATCATGATCTGGAATCAGCCAATGCCGACCTATGCTCTGCCCGTGTTTACTTCATGGCCTGATCTTTCATTTTTCCATATTGAAAGATCCTATGACAAGTATCATTGCTGTAGTACTGGTGATAGCAGTGGCATTGCCGATGAAGGAAGTTGTCTTACATCTCAGCATTTTTCACGAGAAGAACTAAACGACCCCATACGAGACCTTGGTTTATCAAAACAGGCATATGAGCTGTTAACAGCAAGGTCCAAGAAAACCACTGCTTAAAGACGGAATCTAAAATAACAGCAAGAGAATGGGCAATTCTGCCGTTTTCGCCGAAGTGAATATCTCGTCTACTGCAATAGTATTGCTGAATTTCTTCTGGTAATGGGACTACCGAGATATCAACCGATATGCTGGAGACCATTTAGAGACAGCTGCAGCCGAAGTTTGAAGTGCGTTTTATTGCACAACAGAAGTCACTATGCCCACTCTACTACACTTAAAGAATGTGAAGGTTTTAAAAAGCTTTCAGTGAAATTATCCCATAATAATCACATCTGGATTATTTGCGTGATTTTAAAGATGGTGAACTTTTACTGGGGCAGGAGGGTGTATACGAAAGGTATCCTTTCTTCATTTCTGGGACAGCAGGGCTAAACAAATACCATTTGAGAAATTGACTTGGTCATCTACCAGGGAAAACATGAATGTAGGTGCAGCGAATACCATAAAGAAGCCTTTGATTGACAAAGGAGGCACTATTTTTCCATCGCCGCATATAAACTTGGGGGTGATGAAGCAATTTGTTAAAGCACTGGACAAAGATGCTGCTTGTTTCAAGTACATTTGTACAGCATTACTTAAACTGAGTATTGAGAAACTAACAGTTTGCATATGAAATGGTCCTCAAATTTTACAGCTAATTATCGCTTTAGATTTTATTACGTCTACGAATAGTGTTAAAGCATACGCTTTAGATAGTTTTGTCTCCGTCATAAAGGAAGCAACTTCAAAGATTTGTTGGAGAATATGCTCGCAAACTTTGAAACATTGGGTTACAACATTAGATTACATTTTCTTAATGGCCACTTTGACAGATTCCCGGATTTCAATAGAATAAAGTAGTAGCAATATGATGTAAATGAGGTATCAAGACAGGTGGGACAGACGATTAATGTCGGACTACTGCTGGAGCGTACTTTCCATATAAACCGCATTGCAGCAGATTGTACAAAAAGGCGCCTTTCCGATTACCAACTACCATGATATGCATCAGCTTAGTAGATTATCTCTTCAACTATCGTGTATACAAGGCCATTAGATGAATATTTGGTTTCGGAATACCCACCGTGTATCTTGGTTTGCGACACGCAATCTCGATTGTGGCTTCGGTTGACTTTTAAGCCAGACTACCATTCTGATCACAGGGATCGTCACCGAAGTGGAGGGTTTTGGTGTTGGAGAGAGCAATACAAAGACCATTAGGTATTTACTGCTTCCAATGATTCTTGGACAAAGCATCCTGTTGTTTTCTACCATAAAATATCTTTCTGTCAGTACACCATATATTAAAAATTAGCGCCAAAACGGAGGCCAGATTGGGAATCATTGATACCAAATTACCCTAAAACCACTATAATAACATTGACACAAAAACCATTGTTGACTAGTGTAATCAAACGAAATGGTGTCATTTCCACGAACACTGCGTTGAAACGTCGCCTATTGATTAGACGTGATACGATTACATCTCGAAGTAACCAACTCCAGGTTAATCGATGTGTTTTCTCCTTATTTCTTTCTGTTTTGCACCCAAAGCATTCTGCTTGCATTCAACGCATATTTGCTTTTGCTAGATATTTTTCTTGAATGATTACTTTCGTTATGAGCATTGATTCTGTTCATTTTGCTGATCTACTACTTTCTTGCACCTATTTTCCCTCATCATTTGCAGCACGGTTGGTCAGTGTCTGGGAAGTGCATCCTACCGATCCCCTCTTACCACTGTTACTCGCCGTCAGCTTCCTTGGAATCGCTGTCAATCGACACCTTGTATCTCGTCATTCATACATCCTGCAGGTTCGTTATCTACTGGAGTTCCAACTTTTGATTTGGCACATATCTAGAATCAAGTGATTTGGCACTTTTTGCCCATTGACTCCATTCCTGCATCTACCATACTCAGTAGGTAGTTGCTGTAGTCTATTATCTCACTTGTCCCTGCATGACGTTCTACACTCCACCTGCCCAAGCATATTCTCCGGATTCAGACTTGTCTATTTGTCCATTGATGTTTCACAAAAGAGACGCTATCTGTACATCGGTTTTTTATGAGATTGTACACTTCTTTTAATCGCCCAGAACAGATCCCAGCGCGAAAACCTTATAATACCTTCTCATTTTTAGATGGGCTTACTAAGTTTACGCCGGTTAACCCACCCTATTGTTGTACTTTGATGCAGCGTTCACGTTTATTTGGTTCACAGCCGCGTTTTCTGCAGTTTTCAACAAATGAAATATAAATCCGCACTTTTGCACGTCGCAGTATCGTGCCAGGTTCTGTACTCGTTATCTAGGGAACTGACATGCATCGGCTGAAAATATACTTAATTTACCGACAAAATCGCTTCGCAAATTACTTTTTTGTCATGCGAAATCTTGATATGGACATGCTTCGAGTTCAAAAGGGCCCCAAGCGTTTAGTTGCAATATCTATCCACTTTCTGACTTTTTGTCCTTGTACTAATCTCTTGTCTTCCTTAATAAACTGTGCGTCTCATAGGCCTAGATAACTAGTCGGGAAACTGTTTTCTTCAACGGATTGCTTTTGTAGCTGCATGATCGGGTTCGTCAAGGACGATTCGTACCGAAGGTATATCCGGTCCGAAGGTGGTGATGACGCTGTGAATGAGGGGCTGTGCTTTATCATAGGCAGTCATAACGGTCCTCCACCGTCGCCCTGGCTTGAGTGGCTGACTAGTAGAAGTAAAATGATTCCATGTGTTTCAGCCCGACAGATTTCGGCGGCTACACTCTCCTGACGAATTTCTGTTGGATGAAACGGCCGTCTAACGCTTTTTCAGTTATGGGGCAGCTGTCTGATTGTGTTTGTTTGCAACAAACCATGTTCACGCAGACCACGACAGATTGTGTAGTGAAAGCTACCCAGGACCAGATGCTATATGGGATAAGACCGTTAGCCGGTAGAACAATTTCGGTTACCCATTCATTTTCATGGAAACCGATAACTGTCATTATTGCACGTTGTCTGACCATTTGTCTCTCATTCCACAATAGGATAGCTGATGTATAGTAGTCAACTTTGCTCACCGGTGCATGTCGAGTGTTGCTCATATCTGATGGGAACACTAACTGTTTGCCGCTGACCTATTGGTACAGCAATGGGGAGTTTGGATTACGATGTGGAAGATAGACGCAACCTACTCACCATTCCTGACGGCACAATGCTTGCCTTTTCTGACGGGCTCCACTGGCTGATTCGCAAGTCCTATCAGTCATAATTTCATCAGCGCGAGGCACGATCCAGTGAGTCTTTCACCATAATTATGCACAGCATTCACTCAGAACTGCCAGTGTAAACACGTTGTTTTCCACTGGTAAGGGATTTCATTTCGAGATATCAACCAGATATTTCTCCCAAACATGCGTCGTGCGTTGACGATGATCATATTTTTTAAAGCTCTGAAACGAACCGCAGTCCCGTAAGACACGAAGAGGGTACACAGTGAAACGTAGAGGATTGTAGATCGAATAGTGCACAGGGAGTAGTGTTATAAGACATAATTCTAAACATGACAAATATTTGTGGATTGCGCTAGGGTGTGTTCTAGGACTCATGTACGCATAGCTTATGGCGTGCTCTATGTTGGAAGGGCTTCAGTACACGTTTTTGGACTCTGTGTATTAATGTTAATTATGTCCTTTTAAAGCGTTTTCTGTGATCACTTGTAGCCAGTTGACACAACCCATATATGGGTGTCATCTAGAAGAAAAATACAATTGACGAGCCGACAGTGTTTGAGCCAGTGCATGGCAGGTATTCAAGCTTGGTAAAAGCTAAGAACGGTTCAAAAGTGGTTAAACAGGACCAACGCTCCGGTGGCTCTAGTTGCGCCCACATAAGTATGCAAGGAGGTTAAATTGCAGTGAAATTTTAAATGCAGTTATTCTTTGCGGAATTTGCCTGCGCGACCGAACAATTTACTCTCGGTTCAGCTATCTAATGATAGTGCTGAAACCATGTTGAATTGGAATTTCTAAGGTGTCGCATGCCGTTCGACATTCAACAGCGTATTGCACGCGTTTCCTTGACTTGTTGCCACAATAGGTGCAATACACTGCACTGACAGAGCTCTCTTGTTAGTTTCAACCGTACTACTACAGATTACGCAATGTTACATACCACTGATGTCACCTAGTTTTGTGGTGCAACGTCTGTGACCAAATTGTCATGAGCACTTAAATAGTCAACCTGATCTACTAATAATACCAGCAGTTGAATCTACCTGGCATCTTTCGCTGTCCTCTGAGTTGGATTATCCTTCCTTCAGGTCCAGCCTAATTATTCGTACTCCAGCGCATCAAAGCATGTTGAACGAGCTTCGACCCAATAAGTTGCCTTATATTTTTGATGTATGGTACACTTTTCAGACAAGCAACAAGGACCCATCCCACGGGTGTTGTTGCTACGAAATTGCGCGCTAGGTGGGACACTTTCAATCCCTAACGAACGACTTGTGATGTGATTATGATGTACAAGCAAGGACAACCATGCCCTTGTACCATACATTGTGTTTTTGAGGCACAAAATCCGAGTTGTTTTTCAAAGTACAAATATTTCAAGCAACGAGCAAGAATTGCGTTGGCATGTTCGCCAAAACTTGACCATTTAATTACTTTTTTTGAGTTGTACTTCCCCTTTGCTTCTCCAGTTTTTCATGGCGGCGAATCACTCCGACTTCGCCGCAGAACTTGTCGATCTACCCGTCACGTTGAGGTTCACTAATCAACTGGGTGCCACTTTGTCTAGCGGCGCCATCGCAGTGTTGCGCCCTTTAACTCAACAATATCCACAGCTGCTTTCTTCATCCCATACACTTCGTTACTAGTTTCATGTAATTCCTCGCATCTCAGCAGTTTCAACAACCGCTTGCTTTTACGTACATTCCTATTGAGTCCCCTTAGTTATTAATTCTTGACTTCGCAGATACATTTAACTTGGGTCACCTAGTAACCACGGATGTTGTCGTGAAATACTATTGTTTTCTTTTTTTCTTTTTTTAGTACTGTCTACCTTTATGAATGACTTAGGATAAGTTATACCGCGAGACCCCCTGCCACTTTGAGTATGGTCAATAATGATTACAACCATTTGGATATCCCTTTTTCATCGCTTTCTACTTTTCCTCTGATTGCTGCTAGGCTTTTGGCTTTTTATGTGAATATCGGCGAAACCGAGGTCGCTGCCAAGAGGTATATTACAACATAGCCCGAGCATGCCATCAAATGAGTAAGTCCTATGATGTCCCGTCTCACATTCTTCTCTCTCACCCTTGCTCTCGTTTTCTGAACTCATTCATTTTACTCTCTTTGGGGATTTGATGTGTTGTTCGGTTTTCTCGAAATGTGTTGCCGTTCACTGTGTACTTTTTCATCTTATTCTTCTTTGGACTTACTCCACTCGTAAATGCCGGTTTCGCATATTTGCAACCTTTGCATTGGCATCAGCAGTACGCCGGCACACAGTACTGACGCTTCGCTGCCGCGCAACCGCTATCGGTCACGTGCGAGCTAAGGATACTGCGAGGATCGTCCGGTCCCTACACAGGCTGGAGCCCGTGACCTCTGGATTACTAGCCAGACTTGTGATCTTTAATGCTACGGGCCTTAGTATTCACATTCGTTCAACCATAATTTTTTTCTACACCTTTTCATTTTGGGACATAGATTTTGCGGAAACAGTGGGTCCACGAGTCTGTGGCCTCAACCTACGGTCGCCGGCTGTACGCAGTGATAAATTCACCGTTTTCTTGTGCGCTGATTTATTGTACAGTGAACGTGCCTACGTCTCATATCAGTTTGCGGTCAATAAAATAAAACTTAGAGCCCGACGAGTTAAAGGCTTGTTCAATATTCTATCGTGCCACTTGCTCCCACCCTGGAACTTTATTCGTTTGACGCTGTTCGATCTTCACCTTCTAGATCCACTCATGTATATAGCACTTCCTCACTGTTCAATATGCTTAACTGTTTCAGCGATGACCGTGTTAATGGGCGACGTTTTCGTGGCAACATCAACATGCTCGTATACTACCTGAGCTACTGCTGATATATCGTAACCGCTCTCTTTGCACACGAGGCTGCATTGATCCTCATGGGATGCAACAATCCATGACGGTATCTTTTCGTCTCTTTAAACTTCGTCCTTTTCTTCCACCATATTTGAAAGACAACTATCCGTGCCCCATCGCGACGAGAATGTATGTTTACTTACTCTTGTAATCCACCGAGTTGTGTGAGCAACACTGCTCTGGTTTTCCATGTCGTTTCCATCGTATACCCTCTAACCGGCTAACTCGGTTTGCACTGGTTGCTAGTGTTGCACTTGGGGAGGTGGTCGATCCGTGAAAGGACAAAAAGACCTGGCACCGTTGATTGAGATTTGCCTTCTGAGTCGTTACAGATCGTCAAAATGTCTCTAGGTCGTCTCTATTCGCTTAAACTAAGGCATATGCACAAACTCCCCCCACATCGGCTTGTCCATGGGCACCATGGCGTATCATCCATGACACACAGAAGTGAGCGTTCCGTTTCATTCTGCACACGAACCAGATGGCGATTGTTGTGCTAGCGTTGTAGTGGAATTCGACAGCAGAGTCGAATTCTGTTTCCAGTTTGTCAACTTCCGCAGTGCCAAATCTGTCGCATAAACTTTAACGACGCAGCTTCTTTAAATGTGATTGCTCAGAATAGGCCCACTATACTATCTGTTCAATCTTGTTGCAGCGATAGAATTATTTCACTCGGGTAACCGTTTTGCATTCATAGTTTTGCTATCTGTTCTACGTTACAACAACACTGAAGAAAATCTATCAGATGATTTCAACAGATCGGAACAGAAGTTGAAATAGTAAAATGTTCATATTGAAAATTGTAAAATCCTCAGTAAATATAGGATTCAAATTGGTCATAATGAATGTACTTTGTTCACACGGAAGCCGCCCAGATAGCAGCTGGCCACAGCAAAGCCTTAACGAGCGGTTTATACACACAAGTTTGGATTGGACACCTCACACGGTAGCTCAGGCGAAATGCTTTAGAATCAATGACGAGATGATTTATATGCAGTAAATGTGCAGCTATTGCCGTGGCGCACGCTCTTTTCAATCCTCTTCTTATTTCGTCCATCCGCAGACACTGTCAGTCAAGATTAAATTGTGCAGTCACACCCTATACCTAATGCTACTTTGGGGATCAGAAGCATGGCTGTCGATTGTTGAAGACATTAAGCGGCTGGTCATCTGTAGCCTGTGACGCCTGGGAGGTATCGCTCGAGTCCGATGGGGCCACTGGGTTAGCAGTTCAACCGTGGTCGGCTAGTCTACAGCAACAACCCCTCTGACCCGTAGCTAACTACATGTTTATTTCGCGCCGCTTGATATGAATATGTTACCAGTACATGCTGTTCAATTGGCTCACTCAAGGTGCACTGTTTTCTTTTGAAACGCTCGGTCGATAGTGTGGTGATGAAGCGTAAAATCTTTATCTAACACATTTGATCCGACTTGCTACATTCATGGTTAGGTAACGTGCGTAACATTATTTATCCGCGCTATTTGACACCGTCTCGTGCCTAGTACTGATACCCTCTTCATTTGGTACCCTTTCCTTGTAATTTCTTTTCTTCTTGCCGTCACAGCAGTGCTAATTCACCTACTAGATCCTATGCACCTCCCGTGTCATGGTTCGTTAGTCGACCCGAACTACCGATTCTCGAGCTACGACGGGTTGAGGCCGATTCGCTCACTCTCCACACACTCGATAGTGTGGTTTATCCGAGAAGCGCGGATACTTTCTCATTATGAATAACTCACTGCCTTGTTTTAGCCGTTGACTCTTGTGCTATGGAGCTTCTCATGATCATACTGACTACTCATCCTTTTGTATTTTCTCGACTTTCTCATTTCGAAGCCATTTTGAATATTCATCCTCTAGTCACTGTTCAGACCGTCGCTGAAAAGCACCGACCCATGTTTCAATTTTGTCATTCTTTTTCTTCCTATTATTGTTTACTTAAAGAGCTTTCATTGGACTTTGGCTTGTTTCATTGTGCTCTTCCCAGTGCTTGGACACATTGCCATTCACTACTATGAGAAAGTGCTGCACATGGATCCCGTGGGTGACACGGAGGAGGAACGATCCGTGAGTCTCAAGCGTTATCCATACATTTGAGTCCTTGGACTTATGTCATTCTTGCCACTTGTTTTATTTACCACAAAACAGTCTTAATGGAAGACTCGCATTCGGGAGCCGGTGCTACTGTCACATTTGCTCCTAAATCTCGTCCCACAACCCGGATTGTATTTACGCCTACTGGACAAAGTGTAAATACTCGTTCGTTCAGGGGGTCCTCATCGCTACGGCTTGCGGGATACCGAGATTTGCAGACTTATATGCTACTCGTTGTCCCTGAGATGCATAAACATTCGATCGTTACACTGTTCAGCCTTATCACCCACTACCAATCCCACTTTCGTAACCGTCTCCGATGAAAATGTACCACAAATGACGCCATAGCTGTTTCCTTCTTGCTCCCTCTAATTTGCTTATTTCTTTTAACCGTTACTATATGCCTCTCTATATTGGAGCGTTTCCACCTTATTTCCTCCTCATGTATGGTGTGCCTAATTTTCCACACCCAGGGTTGATTTGATGCATTATTCTCATTTTCGTTCGCATTCACTCTTGGTACCGAGTTTCTTCTACCTTGCTTGCACATCTTTTCACTATCAGAAAAGGTTTCTTTGCTCCTGAATCACATGCCAACTGTTCCCTGCAATCTGTTTCCCCTTTTGGTTGACTGCACTGGTTTACATTTTGCATCTTTGACTTCCACCTGAGTTGCTTCTGCTATTCGCTTCGTTGACTATGAGTCATTGTGCTCAGGATCTGAACATTCGGATCTTGTATTCGGCTCACATACACTTGTAGAGTGCTGCGACAGAATTCATAGACACACCTTTCTCACCTCACCATCGGAGTTATACAGCTCGAACACTTGGATAGTTTTGTCTACCCACGAAGATGAATTTCTGCCGACGGCACTATTACAGAGATACCTTCTCGCTATATATATATATATATATATATATATATATATATATATATATGTTTGGCGGCATCCGGTTTCGGATTTGCCTGTCACTGTGGCAAGCCACAGGACGCCTGCGCCTACGGAGGGACCATGGATGGCTTGGGCTGCACCACCCACAGCTCCAACCACATACCCCATATCCAGTGTAAACCCGAAGGAATAAGACCGGGAGGCATGCAGATGGGAACCACGTTTCATCGACGGAGCCGGCCCACACTCCTTCACAGGCAAACACAAGCACGCTGTATTTGAGGAATCAAGCGCACACAAGGCGGTGGCTGGACCGTAGTCCGCTCCACACTGAGTGCATGGAACTGCTCTTTGAGCCTAGCACGGCCACAAGAACCGTGCACCCCGTTCCCTCCAGCAACGACCAACTGTCTCCTGGAGCCAGTATGAACGATGTAGTGGGTAATATATATATATATATATATATATATATATATGTATATATATATATATATATATATATATCCTGTTCACTGAGTTTGGCTATTTGGTCACTGACGTTTCATCACCAATGGGTTTGTTAACTGACCACTCCACATCTTCACACGCACGCCATTCAGCTTTTTTGAAGTATGCATCTGCTAGTATTACGCATGATTGAGTTGCACTGCAGGGCCATCAGTCAATGACACCAATCTGTCCTGGAGAAACCCACCGGAATACTTGTTTGGTTTTTCGCGTAGCGCCATTCCACTTGGGGTTACCGGAGTCAGCTGACCCACTTTTGGGAGACTGTTTAAATTTGGCAATGTCATGCACTCAGTGGTGTTGACACACTCACTTCTGATTCTCAACTCCCAGATCTTATGAGTTTACACATTTTATTTCTCGTGGATTCAGTTTTCCTCAGCCCCTTATTTTTGTGTAGTTTTTATTATGTTGATGATGGCGTTGATTAGGACAGGGGGCCCGTCGTATCTCAGTGCACAGATTATGTTCGTTTAGCTGTGCTAAATTGAACTTTCTCCTTATCTGATCAGTCTCACTCTTCCTCTTTGCCGGAAAATTCCTCATATTTCGACATCACCTGTATATTTTGTGACTGATTGAGACGTCTAATAGCCAGTCTTCTGTCGGGGAACTTACTGTCGTTTATCCCAGTATGTCAGTCAAATTTACGGGGACTGACAATCTTTTTTCACTATTGTTACCCACTTCGGAAAATGCTGTTTTTTACGGCATTCGAACTTCTCTTTACCATAGTCCAGGCAGGTTATGTATCAAAAACACCCTTTCGGATTGCCGGGATTCGTTTGTTCACTACCTGAACCTGACCACATCCCTCGAACTCACGTCCAAGCACACATACTTTCCTATTTCGCCTTCATCAATCAATAGAAACTCATCCTCGTCTATTTTGACTGCCCACACAAACTTTGGAATCAGACCACATCTGTCCTTCAATTTTCTCACCTTCCCTTCGGTTGAGTTCCCTGTTCATTTTAACTCATCAGATTGATTTTATCCCCTCTCCTCTTCGATTTTAGCTAACGGACCTTAGGCAAGAGACGGCGTTCAACCTTGCTCTCTTGTATCGATCTCAAGGAAACCATTGCATGGCACACCATATAATTCAAACTTACTTGGTTGTGTAGCGTTCTGTCTACGCAAGTCTTCTCCTGGATCACACTCCTAGCTGGATCTTGTAAATATCCCTGTATAGGCATCAACCTTGTGCTGTCTTTTATAACACCACACCTTGCATAAAGCATTTTTATACAATGACTTTGCTTACAACCTGCTAAACGCACCACTTACAATCATCGTTTACGGCGAGTGTCTATGCGTTAAAAAACATCCTAGTTGTTTCGACGCCTATTTGAAACCGACGAAACGTTTTTCATTGGTAATGCTGCACACGCAGAATGGCCAAGTGAATTTGGATCAGTACGCGAGCTGCGACTGCAGGCGAAACGCATAACCTGGTGGGACTGCACTGAACTTACCGATGGCAGATGTTTATTCGCTGATTCAGCTAGGTGCGAACATGCTCCCTACCCCTTCGTATGTTTGCCTCATTAGTATAGCAACCTAAGGCGTGAAATACAGTTCAAAGTGTATGTTTGTGGGACAGATGGGTTGTCACTTAATGGCATTGTTTTTAGGTAAGCGGAGTTTATTTCCGTATGTTTTGAGTCGGTAGGTACAACAGTGCCACTGGGGAGAGCTGAGATGGAGTCTGTGCAGTTTGTCTTCACACATGACGGTGGTTTCATTGAGGAGAGCTCAGCTGTGTAGTGTGAGCCGCCGCATGGTGACAGTATTGCTGAGGCGGGTTGTGTGCAAATTTCACGGAGGTACGCGAGCTCCGCAACTCTAGGAATGCGCTTTTTGTAGTCTCATCCCCCTGCCCTAACGACACTGAGGACCTCTCATACCCAAGGTAGATGATGCAGGTAAACGAGTCAGAGCAAAGATCCTGTTTACAGAGGAGGAGTAGTGGGAATTGAATGGCATAGGTAGAAATTCGTCACATCTAGACTCACTCAGACAGCCGTCACATGCCCGGAAAAGCACTGTACGCGCGTTTCATCCTTTCGGGAATCGTCAGCAGTGCCCATTCCATCGGAACCTGAAACGGCTCGAATCCGCAACTCGACTGTTGCCAGTCAATGGTACATACCACTGAGCTTCGGGGGGGGGGGACAGCAACGAC